GGCAGATCTGATCCCAATGCATTAATTTTTTTCTTTTTCCGCCCGCATGTCTGCTGTTTTCTCAGTCTGGTTCTCATGATTTGGAATTTGGCAGGCTTTCCTGTCTGCACAGAAGTACAGCAAGGCTGTGGCAAACCAGACAGAGGTGGGAAGGTCAAAGATCACTGGCACAGCAAAATGGCACTAGTGATGAATGGGAGGGGTCAGCTCCCCCGTCTGTGCCCCATCTCAAGCATTCCCCACATTGCAGGATCTGCACATCTGCAAACACAGGTGTTCACAGCACAAACACTAACATGTGCTTATGTGCCTTTAAAGCACTCACTGAGCATCCACAAGTTACTGCAGCTCAGAGCTATAGCGGTTTCCTTCTGAGCAGCTCCCAGACAAAGCCAGTGTGGCTTAACAAACAGAACGCTGAACTTGGACTGGGAGGCCACCATCTGAGCATTAAGGAAGCTTCGTGGTGACCCCGTTTGGGGAGGTATAACAGGTCTCATCACCGATGCACCACCAGGGTTGGAGGTCCCCATTTTCATATCCAACGTTTGACGCGCCCTTGAAGCCTCTGCTGGAGTTGCATGCGGAGTTGCTTTGGCGTGTTAGTTCTCGGCCTCATCGTGCTGGCTCTGGGATGCATATTTTGCATTGGGAAGTTGTTCTGTTGGTTCATTTGATTCACCATAGAGTTAAAGGATGGCTGTTGGCCTTGCATGGCGGTAAACCCCCCTGGCATTACGGCACCCTGTCCCTGGTAGGGCTGACCATACATGGGAGGCTGGACTGGGAGGCCTGTGTTCTCTGCTCAGCTAAGAAACTCAGTTATTTGGGGCCAGGCACCCTTTTGGCCTGCCATATCTCAGAGGGCTGTTGTGGGAGATAAATTCATGCTCGCCACCCTGGACTCCTGAGAGTGGAACAGGCATGTGAGAAAGCCAGTTCTATGTATGGTAAAGTAGGGTGACAAATAAAGCTGCCTTATACTGAATCAATTGGTCCATCTGGGTCAGTATCATCCCCTGGGACTCGCAGCAGCTTTCCAGGGACTCAGGCTGAGGTTCTTACCCATCACCTACTGCCTAGCCCATTTTAACTGGAGATGCCAGGGATTGAACCTTGGACCTCCCGCATGCAAAGCAGAGGCTCTTCCACTGAGCTGCAGCCCCTCCCCTTATAAGTAAGTCCCTGTCACAACACATTTGGCTCTCCCTTCCCTCTTAGTGAAATAGGACTGGAGGCCTAGCAGGGCAGGAAAGATCTCTGAACGTGGTCAGTTCCGTATTTGCTACAGAGCTAAGAGAACCCGCACGATCGGTGGATTTTTCGTAATGTTCCATCATTTGTTTTATTTACTTGGGAACCCGAAGCAGCTGACATTGTTCTTTTTCCTTTCATTTAACCCTCATAACAGGTAGGTTAGGCTAAGTGTGGGTGACTGGCCAAAAGCCACCCAGCAGGTACCCGTGACAGAGCAGAGATTTGAGCCTGGGTTTCCCGGAACCTAGTCTGGCACTTTAACTGCGACCGCAAGCTGGCTGTCTGGTTTGGTGCGAGTCAGCTGGGAGGAGCTCGATGAAGTATTTAGGGGATCAGATAACTGGCAAATGGGCCCGATTCCTAATTAGGACTGCCTACCCTCTTGCAAGAGGCTTTTCAGAGTTCATGACCTTTTAAGCCCTGACCTGGATAGCCCAGGCTAGCACCATCTTGGAAGCTAAACAGGGTCGGCCCAGGTCAGTATTTGGATGGGAGACCACCCAGGAAGACCAGGGTCATGACCCAGAGGCAGGCAATGGCAAACCACCTCTGAAGTCTCTTGCCGTGAAAATCCTATACAGAGGTGTCAAACTCATTTGTTACGTGGGCCAGATCTGACCTAAACGTCACTTTGTCTGGCCAGGCCACATGTGCCATAGAATGTAGTGCCAGGTACTAGAGATGTCTTACCAATGACTGTGACCCACACCCCTCCTCAGTAGAGCCCCCGGCCAAGCCACCCCTCCTCGCCCCTAATGGTTGCCAACTCCGGTTTGGGCAATTCCTGGAGATCTGTGAGAGGACCCTGGGGATGCCTGCGTTTGGGGAAAGGATGGACCTCAGTAGGAGGTCTGGAGATCTGTGAGAGGACCCTGGGGAGGGCCTGCATTTGGGGAAAGGATGGACCTCAGTAGGAGGTATAATACCCTAACATAGGCCATTCCGGTCCACATTTGGACTGGTTTTCCCCTAGTTGCTCACAGACCGGATAAGAGCTCTATACAGGCCGGTTATGGCCCCCGGGCCGTATGTTTGACATGTCTGCCCTACAGGGCTGCCATAAGTCAGCTGTGACTGGATGACAAAAAAACCCGCAACATTTTATAACTGCAGTCAAACAGATTTCCCAACAACCCCGATGAAGGGTGGGGGAAGGGGAAAAAAAGAACCACATTTGTTTCCTATCACACGCTCTAAAGATCACCTTGAGATTCTGCAAGGCCCAATTTTTTTTTTTAAATTCATTGATCAATTTTGTCAGCCTTTCCCCTCCATCACCTCCTAGGGGGACGGGGGTTTGTAGACCAGCTATTTCCTCCACCACCCCGCCCCAAACTCTGTATCTGCAATAGGAAGAGGGGGCGAAGTCATTTGCATCGCTTCAAACAGGCAAGGCCCGGCATTAGTATTCAGATAAATGCACTTCTTGCAACTTTGCCAACTTGAGATCACTGCAAATTTGAGTGGATTTCCACAGAGACAACAGAAGGCTCATCCCCCAGGCCAGCTTTCGCTCTTGCCAAATTTCAGTCGCGCAGCTTCTCAATGAGATGACGGGATTTTTTTCTCCCCTCTTTTAAAGGATGAAGGGGGGGAAATTATCCTTTTCTATCATTCTTAGGAGCCAGCTGGATTTTTTTTTTGTTGGAACACTGGAGGGGGGGGGAACCACCACCACCCCTGAAACCCTGAAGCAAAGAAAATTCTTCAGCCCAAATGGGCAAAGAGCTCCGAATGCCGGACAATGACAAGGTTTTATTACACGCAGCCGAGATTTTTCAAGACCAGGAAAGGGACAGGACCCAACACACATTTTCCCGGTTTTGTTCCAAACACCTTTGGCTTCCATGCAGCTGGAAAGCTTTAAGGGAGGGGGAAAAAGAAAATGGAGCTTTCTCTCTTTTTAAAAAATCTATTTGATGTCACTCAAAGACAGCTCAATCTAGGGCAGTGGTTTCCAAGCCGGGCTTGGAGGAATTCTCCAAGGTGGTTCAAGGGTCCCCGTCGAGATTTACCATGGCAAAAGCTTTTGGGGACTAACAGGGCCCACGCTAGTCCACAACAGCATCTTGAAAGTGCCATGGGAATAAAATGGCTGGAATTGGTTACTGGGGGGGGGGCTATGGGGCTTCACAGAAGCCAGACAGGGGCTCCCAAATGAAAATACTGGGGGGCAAACTTCTTGGCAAGATGTCTGCCCTTCTTTCCTTTGCGCTGAGCTATTACAGTGGAATGTGGGATGTGTTCAGCGCACTCTGCCAGTTGGTGTAGGGCAGCCGTGGAGACCAAGAGCCCTACCCAGCAACCCTTGGAAACCAAGAGTCCGCCCCCAAAGCATTCCCCAGAATCCTCTGCAGTGCTCAAAGGTTCCCAGGCCCGTATACGCAAGGGCTCTTCAGCAGACAAACTGATGCAAAAAGGGTACTACGAAGATGGAACGTTTGAAGGGCTTAGAAGGTCTTTGATGAGTTGTTGGTTTTCAGTCTGCAGATGGGCACCAAAAGGTGTGTGAGGGCTGATCTATGTTGTTTGTAGGCTTTGGAGTCCCCCTCTCTATTTTCAGAGGTGAAAGACAGATGGATTTGTAACTTTAAAAAAAGAACGAAAAAGAAAACCCACTTTTGTCCCTACTGGGGACTTAATGTGGCTTACAACATTCTCCTTTTCTCCATTTTATCCTCACAATAATCCTGAGGGGTAGGTTCGGCCAACAGTATGCAACTGGGCCAAGGTCACCCAGCAAGCTTCTGTGGCAGAGTGGGGATTCGGACCTGGCTCCCAGCTCCTAATCCAACACTCTAACCACTAAACCACTCCCAGTTCTGAAACAAAACCGGTGCAGGGTAGTTTCCAGCTAGGAAAGAGTGATGATTACCAATATAAATCCTACGTTTTTATTCTCCCTTCCTCCAAGCTTACATAGCTCTTTTCCCTAACAACAACCCTGTGAGGGAGATCAAGCAGCTAGTATATAACGGGCCCAAAGTCAACCCTGAGTGAGTTTAGTGGCAGAGGGAGAATTGAAACTTGGTTTCCCCCGGTTCTAATTGAACCTGCTAGCCATAACACTGCATCGGTTATGTTGTGTCAGATCCAAGAGAATTAGGTAAAATGACAGCCACCTCCAGAGTGCTTTATTGTATGAGACGTCAGTCGAGCCAGCCAACTCACTGCTTAGTAATATAATAGTATTTTAATAGCCTTTCAGTCTACAAAACGCTTCATTATCACAGTAACACTTACAAACAGCTCCGTAAGCGAAGGCACTTTTATTATATCATACATGGGGTGGGACCATGGCAGGGAAAACCCCAAAGCCAGCCAGCGACTGTATGGCTGAGATGTGATTTGTACCCAGGATAGGGTTGCCAATCTCCAGGTGGTGGCTAGAGATCTGGGGTTCTGGCTGATCTCCAGTCTACAGTGATCAGTTCCCCTGGAGAAAATGGCTATGTTGGAGGGTGGGTTTTATGGCATTATACCCTGCTGAGGGCTGTCCCCAAACCCTGGCCCTCCCCAGGCCTTACCCCCACATCTCCAGGAATTTACCCACCTGGAGTTGGCAACCTTAACCCAGCACCCCTCCAGATCCCACTCCTTCTCTTAGCCAAACTACATCAGCCTTTTCCATCCCCGGCTACGTACCAACTCTTCTGGAAAAGAGATTCAAGCAGTATTTTTGGAACAACCATATTCCATTGGTAAGACCACCTGCAAGCTTTTGAAACACACAGAGCTCTTACTCTGGCCAAGAAGCACAGACTTGCTGCGTTTCTCTATGGCTCCTAGAGATTTGTCTTTGAGATTTAACAGAATGGAGCTCAGTTGCATGATGCATTTGGAAATTTCAGGTTCTGTCCTCCCACTTGGCCTCTCCTTCTACCCCAGATCTATTTTCCCTGTTGTTGTTGTTGTTTTGGGGGGGAGGTGTTTGCTGCTGTCTCAAGACACATCATCATTAGACTTTATTCCCCCCCCCCCCACACACACACTTATGCAGAGCTTGATGCAACGCCAGAGAGAGGCGCAGCGCCCCGGGAGAAGAGAGCGCCAAACCACTCAGCAATCATTAGCGTTAGCGCAAAGGGAAAGCATAGCCAGGGGCAGGGACCAAGCCAGGCGTGTAAGTGTGAACTCGCTCGTCCCCCTCGACACCTCCGCTCCCCGCACCCCTATCCCTATCCCCGGGGGCGCCAGTCTGCACTCCCATCGCCCGCCGCCACTGAAGGCATCTGACAGGCCGATCAGACACAGGCGCTTTCTCTCCCCCTCCCTCCTCCGCCCGGCGAAGGCTGCTGCTGCGCCTTTAAGAGCAGAAGGGAGAGAAGTTCGGCAGGTGCCCCTTCTGCCATCGCTGCAGCACTGCGACTGGAGGAGACAGAAAGAGCACCGCCCTTAAAGGGACACGAGCCCTCTTTTTTCCCCCTCTTTAATCCGAGGCGCTCCACCTATGGCTCCGCCCAGTGACCCACTGCCAGAATGACCCGGGGTTGCCCGTGATCTCCCGGGTAACGGGTTTGGGGAGCCCATTCAGGGCAGGGCAGATGATCCGACCCGGTGGAAGGAAGAAACAAAAGTGCCCCGTGCCTTTCGGAGAGGCTTGCGCAGGAGAACTTCTCCGATGGGCTGAGCCGCGACGGGAGGGGCGGGGGGCGGGCGAGGGTGGATCGCGCGCTGCGACACCCCCACCCCACCCCGCCGTAAGAGACGCGGCTTCTCCGATACGGCGAACCTCGCCTTGAATCCGAGGCAGGGACGCTAGAGGTGGAGACGGGGTGTGATTGGCTGCTCGCCCGCCTAACCAGACGCCCTTCAGCATTTGCTTTTGGAGCAAGGTCCGGGCCTCCAGCCCCGTCCTCCCCCCAAAATCAACACCAGTTCGGGCTGTGCTGCTTAACTCTGAGCATGTACAGAGTGCCTTTCACGCCCTCCCGCGCAACCGCAGCCAGGCGCCCTCCTTTTGGGATTAGAAGCCAAAACACTTAGAGAAGCTTTAAAACCTCCGACAGAGGTCGTGCTTAGGACAGAAGTGGGCGAGAACGCAAGCATTTTTAATGCTGCAATTCTACGCCCGGTAGGGCTTACTTCTGAGTAAGCACGGCGAGGGACGTGCAACAGACGTGGGAGAGGGACCAGGGCACCGCTCGCAATACCCAGATAAACCTGTTCCGAACGGAGAAAGGCATTTCAGGGACTCCTGCAGGGAGGCGCCGGTCTCCCTCCTCCGGCCCAAAAGGCGCTGCAGATTGCAAACAACCCCCGAATGACGGTGCGCAAGCCCGCCGGCTCGAGTCAGGGACCTGGGGGACGGGGGTGAGACGTCCGAGCGTCGAGGTTGGGCGGGCGAAGGCAGCTCGCTCGCCCTCGC